AGAGGATGCCATCTCTTCTGTGGTCCACACTGCGCTCAACCACCTGGAGCAGACAAACTCTTACGTCCGTATGCTCTTTGTGGACTTCACATCCGCGTTCAACACCATGATCCCCCAAACCCTGATGGACAAACTATCCACACTAGGACTAAACCCGTCCATTCGCAACTGGGTACTAGACTTATTAACAAACAGACCACAGTTAGTGAGGATCCACAACTTCTCCTCCTCCACCATAACCCTCAGCACTGGCTCTCCTCAGGGATGTGTGTTGAGCCCCCTCCTGTTTACTCTGCTCACATATGATTGTGCAGCTACCCATCCAGGCTGCCACATTGTAAAGTTTGCAGATGATACAGCGGTGGTGGGATGCATCACAAACAATGAGTCCAGCAACAGGCAAGAGGTGGAACACCTGGAGAGCTGGTGCAAAGAGAATAACCTTCACATAAATGTGAAGAAGACAAAGGAGATGATTGTGGACTTCAGAAGGAACAAAAACACCTACACCCCCCTGAACATAAGAGGATCTGCGGTGGAAGTGGTCTCCAGCTACAAGTACTTGGGTGTACACATGAATGACAACCTCAGCTGGAGCAACAAAACCACCAGCCTGATCAAGAAAGCTCATCAGAGACTCTACTTCCTCAGGCGGCTGAGACGAGCTGGTCTGGGAAGCTCAGTCCTCACCTCCTTCTACAGGTGTGCAGTGGAGAGCATCCTGTGCTCCAGCATCAACATGTGGCATGGAGGCTGCACAGCTGCAGAAAGAAAAGCTTTGCAGAGAGTGGTGAAGGCTGCAGAGAAGACTGTCGGAGTCAGCCTCCCCACCATCACAGACATCTACACCTCTAGATGCAGGAAGAGGGCTACCTGCATCATGAAGGACCTCACTCACCCAGCACACACACTTTTTGCCCCACTCCCCTCAGGAATGAGGTTGAGGAGCATTAAGTGTAGAACCACTAGACTGAGGAACAGCTTCTACCCTGAGGTTGTTAGACTCATGAATCTCTAACTAGAATAGTCACTGTAAAAAACCACATCATGTTGCTGCTGATCTGTTTCAATGTTGATGTGTTCATGCGTGCACATCCGCTTACACAGACTCATGTTCATGTTTGTGCTGATGTTAAATTTTTTAATGTTATGAGTGCTTAGTGTATATTTAGTTGATGTTTTTCTTAGATGTTATTACTGTTTTTTCTTATACATTTTATTGTTGGATGTAACTGGGACCCTGTGTACATAATTTCTCTCCACCACATGTACCACATGAGGTGCGAATGACAATAAATAATCTCTGACTCTGACATACATACATACATACATACATGCATACATACATATAAATACATACACTCACATAAAGAGATGTAAAATATTATTCTGAAATGTTTATGATAATGGTGCAAAGGAAAAGTGCGATGGAAAAAAACAAACTAAACAAAATAAATAGAGTTTGATGCATGTGGCTTAGGTTGTTTAATGTTTGGGGTCAGCAACATTCAAGATGGCTGACAAATTTAAACAAACTGTTATAGATGTACTTCTAGTGACTGGCTTCCAAGAGTTTCATTGAATCTATCCAGTGGTTCATAAGATAATTTGCCAACACAATTAACCAACGCACCCAGGCACACAGACACAGGCAAAACTATTTTCACCATTTTGCCTTCACTGGCAGGGGACGAAAAATAAAACATCAGTCCTAATAAATAAAGTTTATTGTTAGAATTGAGCTTATTCAAGCAGAAATTTCAAACAAAGCAGAATCAAATGCAGCATCCAATAATATAATCAGCATATTAAGACAGACTGTATTACAGTAGGATTACAGTTACACTGTATTGCAGGTTGCTAAGGTTTCACATTAAAATCCAAAGTGAATGCTTGCATATTAAGCACATATTCTGCCCAGAAGGAAACTGGAGACCTCCTGACATTCAGCTGCTCATCAGCAGCTTGTTTAACATCTTGCATGTCTTCTTAACAGCTCCTTCAACTTTTATTATTTTAGTGGTCCACATAATCACACTTACTGTGTTTATACACCCTTATAAAATGTGCTTGTTCCAAGAACTGATGGTATAGAAATATCTGGTAATTGCCTGTTTAATTACATTACTGAACATAGGTGGGGCGTACATTCAGTTGCCAAACACAATAAAGCTGAAGTGAAACAATGAAGACAGAGAGCTGCACGTTGCTTGTCTAGGATTTGCGTGGCATATAATACAGAATAAAACAGCATTTGGAGGATTTTAGGCCAGACATGACAGAAAAATGTCACTATCTGACACTTTAAACTGGGCTTTTAAGGACACTGAGGATCCTGGTGATGGAAGGGGCTGCTTCGAGAGCCTTTATTAACAGGGAGTACTTGAGCAGCACACATTTATTCGGTCATGTGATGTGAGCTAAATAAGTGATGAGACAATAGTAAAATGCTGAATACTGTGTCTGACTCACTTCCACACATATGACATCTCCTGAAGCTTATTATCTTATTATTTATTACTTATTACTTACTTGTTATCTTATTACTTCTAACCTACAAAGCTCTCAACAACCTAGCTCCATCTTATATTCAAGATCTTATTGTGCCATAGTTTCCTAACAGAGCACTTCGCTCTCAGACTGCAGGCTTACTCGTGGTCCCTAGAGTTTTCAAAAGCAGAATGGGAGGAAGATCTTTCAGTTATCAGGCTCCTCTCTTGTGGAACCAACTTCCAGTTTCTGTCCGTGAGGCTGACACATTGTCCAGTTTAAAGACTGGGCTTAAGACTTTCCTTTTTGATAAATCCTATAGTTAGGTTTGGCTTGTTATGCTGCCTTAAGCTTAGACTACTAGAGGACTTCAAAAAAAAAAAAAATTACAAAAACAACTGGACTTTATTTGTAACAGAAGACGTTTCGCTCCTCATCCGAAGAGCTTTCTCAATTCAATGAGCAGAGAGTGAGAGATTCAGGTTATAAGGCTGACTGAGATAAGACACACACACATATGTAGATTGGAACTTCACACCTAAACACCTTAACAGTAAGAGTGGATATCCTTACTGGGCTTTTGTCAAATCAGTGAGGAAATCTACAAAACACACTAAAGCCCCCAGTATACTGCCGCGTACATCCATACGCACGTACGTACGCAGAGGTATGTGCATAACCCCCAGCGTATCCTCCGTGCAAAGCTCCAATTTTTACGACCGCGTACGCGGTGTCGCACAATAAACTGCCAAGTGACGGACTGTTTTGTATGCGACACCAATGTATTAAATTCCTCTTCTTCATCCCTGATCTGGCCTTTTCTTTGTTTTTTTTTTTTTTTTTGGCAAAAGGCAGTGATCTCTTCCTCCTCCGTTGATGCCATGACTGAAATGGTGAGAGATGAAGGAATTTGTCACGAGCAAATTAAACTCAGGTCCAGCGTGGCTGCGGGAGGGTCTGGAGATTTCCTGGTGGGCTGGTCTGATGTGTGGGTTGTAGAGCCAGCTCTCCCTGTTTAAAAAAAAAAAAATAAAATTTAGATCTTTTTATTAACAACATATAAACACAGAACACCGCTGCAGCTGAGGCTGCCAGCGCTCGCTTTTTTTCTATTTTTCCGACCTGTCAATCAATCCAGTTGGCATGTCAGCAAATGACCAATCGGCGACCTCAGTTTGTCCCGAAGGTAAACACCTCTTGTCTGTGAAGCTGCTCTGCAGCTGCTCGGCGTGTACGCTGTAGTTTAATGACTGAACCCTCTGCGTTCCGTACACGCGTATGTACGCGTGAACGGACAAACGCGGCAGTATACTGGAGCCTTTATAAACAGAAAAAGGAAAACAACAGATGGAAAAACATTGTCATCCCTTATGTTGCTGGTGTATCAGAGAAATTCAGAAGGATCTTCAACAAACACAACATCCCAGTACATTTCAAACCCAACGGGACTGTCAGACAGAGGCTGGTCCACCCTAAAGACAAAACACCCATACACAAACAAAGTGGTGTAGTGTATGCGGTCCAGTGCAGCGAGGACTGTCCAGACCTCTACATTGGAGAAACTAAACAGCCTCTTCTCAGCCGCATGGCTCAACATAGGAGAGCTACTTCCTCAGAACAAGATTCAGCTGTTCACCTCCACCTCACAGATAAGGGACACCCTTTTGAGGACCAAAATGTGCACATTTTGGACCGAGAACACAGATGGTTTGAGAGGGGGGTGAAGGAAGCAATTTATGTAAAAAGAGAAAAGCCGTCTCTTAACACAGGAGGAGGCCTCAGATTTCCACTTTCAAAAACATATAATGCAACTTTAAGACTGATTCCCAGCCGGTTTTCACACCTGATGGGAACAGAGGGGCCTCGACTGTGAATTAGAGGAACACAAGACTCTTACTGTTAAGGTGTTTAGGTGTTAAGGGTCAATCTACATATGTGTGTGTGTGTCTTCTCTCAGTCAGCCTTATAACCTGTCTCTCACTCTCTGCTCTTTGAATTGAGAAAGCTCCTCGGATGAGGAGCGAAACGTCTTCTGTTACAAATAAAGTCCATTTGTTTTTGTATTGAATGTTTTTTGAATTCATCATGTCCTGGATGACTGAGAATCTTCACCAGCATACTACTAGAGGACAAATTGATCTCCTTTCCTTAAATTAAATGCTAAAATTGAATAATTTTCATTTTATACTATTTAAATATTAACATGTGATTCTTGACCTGCCATTGTGTATCTGTTCCTAGGCTGGTCGAAGCAGATGGCCGCCTGTCCTAAGCCTGGTTCTGCTAAAGGTTTCATCCTCATGAGGGAGTTTTTTTCCTTTCCACTGTCGCCTTCATGTTCACTCAAGATGAGAGTTCCGCGATGGAGTTAAACTCAAAGCAGTCTGCTCCTCAGATAAATAATGTTAAATTATTATTTTATATATGAATGTTTCTGTTCAGTGCCCTGAGACGACTTCTGTTGTGACTTGGCGTTATATTAATAAACTGAATTGAATATTATAAATTACTTTTAATGACAAACGTTGTTGTTAATAATAGTTCTGCAACTGTTATGGTGAAAATTGACTCAGACATTCAGGTTTATCCTATTCTGTCACTTTGATGTTATCAGTAAAGAGGCAACTCTTTTGGACTGTAACAACCTAAACCAGTTAAATAAACAACTGCATGATGGTTTTAAACCAAATGGAGACTTCATCACTTTTTTTTTTTTCTTCCAGCTCATAATTATAGGAGTGACCTGTCTTTGTGCAGTTGACGCCTTTTCGGCCTGATTTTAAAGCACTTATTTAAACCTTAGATACTCTCAGTGGATCTCAACACAAGACTGATGTCTTAATAAACAATGCTCTAATTATTACCATATTAACAACAGCAAATTATAATCTGTTAATGTGCATTTCATACTATGACATTTAACAATGACAGAGTATAAAATGAGAATATGCAATAAATAGAGATTTACTTTTGCCTTCATTCTTTGTATCTGTTTTTAGACGTGCTCGCCCTTTATCTGGTTAGTCATAGACGATGGAACTTATAGCCTCTGGCTGAATCGGAAACAGCGCATCATTTTTTATTTATTTGCAAATTATCTATAAATTCACTAAAATCCGAAGACAAACCTGTCTGGGCGTCTGCTGCATGTTCCCCCTTAAGCATCATGACAAAAGCAAGTCAAATATTTCCTAGAACACCAGCGAATATTCTGAACTTGTTGAAAGATGTTTGTTCCACTAATCATCCAGTTGTATTCAACTATTACACCAGGCTAAAATTCACTTTTTTGGGGTTATTTTTTATCAGAGGAAGTTTGTCTTGGGCTCCACATGATATGGACCCACTCTGTTAATGGGCATATTTTAAAATTAAAAATACTCTTTGCTTAAATTAAAGCAGCAAGTCATTGATAAGATCTTTTTTTGTTTTAATATAGAGTGTGTTTTATAAAGGAGAAAATATAACTAGGATGCATGAAAAGACTTTCAGTCACATTATTTTCTCTCTTACAGAGGAAACTTTGTATTTCGCCACTTATGCAAGATTCAGGCTGTGGGCGTTTCGAAGAACTGTGGACCAACTGAGACTTGTATAACAGTAATGAGATAAATATAAATATTAATGGAAGGAGTTAAAACAATAGTCAAACTAACCTCATGTTGCTTTTGTTCTGTTAAAAAAATGCATTTTTTTAAATTATTTTCCAGTCAGATAAGAAGGAAAATAAAAAAGTACATTAATGATTTGTCTTCTTTCTGCTGCTCCCTTCCTCAGAGGTCACCACATCGAACCAACTTGCAAGACTTGGCATGTGTTTTTACACAAGTTGCTCTTCCTGATGCAACCACATACCAAAGAGCTGACATTTAGGGCACCGGGGGGTGGGGGGTTAAAGGGCCTTGCTCAATGTCTCCGAGTGGGAAGAATGAAGGTGGAGGCAGGTGTTTTACCTTTCCCACCCACATTTTGATGTTGTCGGTCTGGGGGGGTGGTTGATCCAGTGACTTTCCGATCACAGGCTAAAATTCTCTAACCTCTGTGCCACCATACAATATTGATGAAAGTAAAAATAAAGAAACAAACAGATAATAAAAACCTAACCATGCAGCAAAATAATTAGTACAAAACAATGAAGGCTGGATCATAGAGAGACAATGGGAAGCCCAAATAATTGCATTGGTAACAGGAATCATTCATTCTCTTTAGGGAAACTTTCTAATAACAAACACCATCTCGTTTGGCAAATCAGTCCATTTCATGACAACTGGCCGCCACTTTTCCTCCAGTTTCCTTGTTGACAGCCTCCTCTTGTCTTTGAACAAGCAGCCTTCACAGAACAGAACCATCCACGGCTGCTCTCAGCATTGCAGTCTGTGCGTCTGCGCTCAAGTCAGCTCCGGCTTGTTGGTGCAGCATCAAATGCTTTGCTTGGATTTTCAAATCTTACGCCCACAAAGAGATTTCACACCTGCTTCTCTTGCTGGGGCAGCTTGGAGGCCTTGGTGCTTGGTTTGGCATGGCACACTAGATCCTTGTAGGCTTGAGAGTGAAGAAAACGAGGGTAGCAGTCTTTGGCCATCAACATGTAGATCTTGTGCTGGGCCAGATCGAAGCAAGTTGAAGAGGGGTCCTGCATGTTGGCTTTGGTAATGTCACAGGTTTCATGGTCGATGTTTATCTGAAAAACAGAGGAGAACACAAACTTAGCATGAATTTCTTCCATTAAAAACTCTCAAAGATTTTAGGCAACAGAACCTCGTCGTGTGGAGATCTTACCTCTCTGGGAGCTTCACTTCCGATGAACTCATAATAGATCTGTTGGGCTTTTGCAGGTAGTTTGGCAGGACTCCTGGTTTTCTTGTAATCCTCACAGGCAAAGTAGAACGCAATGTTCTCCTCGCTAAACTCCGATATCAGGAAGGCTGTGAAGGCACACAGTCCATCTGCAAAGAGA